CCCAGCTACCACTGAGGTTAACAGAAAGATTTTCACTGGTTTCAGTGAAAGTTGGACCAAGCTGTAGTGTAGAGGCTATCTACATGGTAAGGTCCTTGGACAAAAGCACCGAGGCAGGCTTTTAAATTTCTCTTCACAACAATAAAGCAACAGCATATCTCACATTTCAGTAACACCCATCCAAGACTGGGTATTTCAAGTAGTCTGAAAGGACTTGAGTCCATGAAGTGCTAAGCAACCACAGTTCCCAAGCTCCAAACAAGAAAGAAATCCCAAAAGTGCAGTTAGTTAACCTAACACTACAAACACCTTATTTTTTAGAGAAGAGCCAAGAACACAAGTGTTTATGCAGACACAGTGCATCTCTGCAGAGACGTAAAGCTTTTAAGTATGCAACACATGTCAAAGCTAGCCCTTATACAACAAGCACAGACAAAAGAACAATTCAAGAACATTACTGTCATTTAGGTCATATGGTTTGGGTCTTTGGAAAGAAAATGGAAGATGATAAAGAGCACTGGGATTTAGGGTGTGACGCTCCTCTAAGGAGGCTGAGCCCACACCTGCCTGTGATCAGTGGCATCCCAGGTGCAAGCACTTATCCAGTCAGGCCTCACCTCCCACAGCTGAGAGGAAGAACTAGCCACTTGCATACACAGACACACGCTTTTTGCACCCTAGTTCTGTATGTCGGGAGTCATCCCCACAACTGTAATGCAACTGGGAGCCTACCTCATTCTGTAAGATCTACAAAGCAGTTGATAAAGCTGAAGGCAGCAGGCAAGACCTAAAAGATTTTTCTCCAGCAGAGCTTATGTTAATCTGAAAAGGGGTATCAGACAACCTGAAAGTCTCTTCTCCCTGCTTGCCCTAAACCCAAAGCACATACAGTATACCTAGAAGTCGGCTGCTCATGACTGCTAACAAGTGTAGTACTGGCCTTTAAACCAGTCCCAAAGACTTGGAGCAAAAGCACCCTGTTTGGAGCAACAGCAACCCTTTATACAACTAGCAGAACTGCACCTAACTCTTTGCCATAGAAAAATTGCTCCACAAAACCAGGGGGGCAGGAGTTCCACCACCTGCCTTTACTGACACCTTCTTTCCCTGCCTGTGCCTGCCAGGCTCAGAGTGGCAAAGAGCACACCTGAGCACGCAGGTACTGCCAAGCAGCTGGGACATTGCTGCAGTTCAGCAAAAACAATTTTTCTCATCCTATCTCACCTCCCCCCTCATAACTGCAACTTGCAAATAATTCTTCACAAATTATTACAGTTTTTTTATCTGAGCAACACTTCCGGGATTGCGCAGGTAAAAAAAAAGTAAGTACAATTAACATCACACTCTTCAGAGCATGAAAACCCACCCATAACACCCTCCTTCCTCTTACAGAAGGGCTCATATCACTCACCCCTGTGCTGTACTGAAGCTCTCCACGGTTTCTTGGTTCCTTGCTCCCACGGCCGGCCAGGGACTTCCCTTCGGCTGTCACTCCCCGTGCTCTTAACCTGCCCCTAAGAGCAGCCTAGTGTAGCCTGCCCTGCCCTGCCCTGCCCTGCCCTGCGGCGGCCGGGGCGGGGCTCGCGCTCGCGCTGCCGCCGCCGCCGCCAA